TTTTATATTAGTTGGGGTGCAATTCAGGGTGGCCAGCTTCTTTCCCTAAAAAGAAAGGCAGCCCGACGAAGACAAGTTCTCTTCCAGTAGACAAGATCGTATGCTGGAATCGTAGAAGTTCTATGTTGGTGGCCTGCCGCAATATTAAACAGACAGTATAACCAAAGCTTTTTGTTGAATCGATCGTCGAGTTGCAATAAAAAGTGTGAAACAATATCTGTTGTATTGAGAATTTAGCATTAGTGTGGTCCTCGTGGCGTATTAGATATTGTCCGAGGTTTTGTCGTGCTCTTTTGTGCATGGATTTGATATGAAATAGTGCTGCGCAAAACGATATCTTTATTATACGCCGATTCGTTGCGGATTAAAAAAAAAAAACAATCGGACTGATGCCGTATAACGATTTGAAATGGGGGAGACGGTTGAAGATCACGGGATACAAAGCACTAACTAGTGCCTGGTTGTTTGAACTAGTGCTGTGTGAATGAGATTATTGGCTGTGATGAGACGAGATCTTAACGGAGCAACCACGGTGACAATTTTTCTGTTTTACATTCGTCCGACTTGCAGAACGAGGGGTCACATTTGACATTCACGTTATTTTTCAGCTATTGATGCCAGTTAACTTTAAGTATTTAAATTATACACTAGTTCCTAAACAACTGAACAAAAATGAACTCGTTATGACCGAATCAAACGTGTTTTTGCTGAATTGAGTCTTGAAATGTTATCGCTGGTGACGTCAGTACAGACCGAAGATGCCAGATTGACACCGAAACATATCTGTGAACTTCAAAAATATTTTGTGACAAAAGAAAAGTGGCGATCTGCTTTTCTTTGATCTTCGCTTGGTTTTTCATTGTGAGCAAGGACACTACGGATGTTTATCGCAAATGGCATCCCACTTGAGGGTCAGGCAGGTGACAAATTATACACCCTCAGTTAAGTCAATCAAGCGTTTGGTGATTTTAGCTGTAAGTAGTTTACATCACTGCCTGTCAAGATTCCTTTTCACTTGTAACTGAGACCCAGACTACATTAGGTGTGAGATTTTTAGAGATTTGGATTTTAAGTATAATGATAGAAAAGTCTTTTCTAAAACATTGATTTAATTCTTAATAAACCTAAGAAAACGGTACGCTGTTTAAAAAATAATTTTAGTTTAGGACTATGGGTTTCATTTTGGATCCGAAATGAACCACAAATTAATAGTGTAATTACAGTACTGTATTATCATATATTTAAATGCGTTTGCTCTTGTCATAACTTATAACATTTATTTATATGGTGTTGATAAATGTGCACAATACTGCGATTTTTGGGCCCATGAGAACGGCTGATTTGGGCATTCTTCAATTGTCGCGTTAAAAATATAGGCCTATATATATATACTACTATTGTCTGAATATACGCGTAGACTGACACATTTAATTTTTGACATTTTGCCGTTTCTTGCCAGGGTTTTTGTCATTCTTTTGTAACTTTACTTACCGCCGTATGTATAGTTATGACGTTAAATTGTTTAATTTTTATCCACAAGGTTTTCTTTATTTGCCTGTGTATCGCTTTGTAAATAATCCTACAGTCCAACAACGATAACTGCTGATTCTGTCAAAAAAGTGACATTTTTGTTTAGATTTACTTAAATTTCGATGGCCTACCATGCTAATAAAATAAGTGATAGTGGTAGAGTTTTCATACAATACAGCAGACACAAACACTGTAAGCGATTCACACACACAGCTTTACATAACATATTATTATGGTACTACATGTAGGATTGTGTTTTTAGAGGGTTACTTTCAACAAAGTCCTAATTTGCGTTAATTTGTAACCTCGACTTGCACCTAATTTTCTAAACAAGTAATTTCGGAGCTTTCAAGGAACAATCAAAATTGTCCACCACTCTGCTTGACGGGGGTCTTGTCTGCCAGAAATAAACTTTTTAACATCATAAAAAGTCTGAGGCCGTATCTTATCGTATAGATGAAAATTACCCTCAATTACTTGTCACCTGATTGTCCTGATTGTCTCTTTTTAACCACTTCAGATAAACTAATAGAGCCTGCTTCACCAAAGACCGAGGCCTTCCCTTTGTCTCCAAGAAATTGCAGCTCGTTACGTAAACAAGGACCTACCGTCTTGCGTCTCTCTTTGTGGTTAAATTACACATTGATTGGTCGGTTCACCACGGCCTGAATTATAAATTCACGCATAATTTACCATTTTAACACTCACTTGCTCAACCTGACGTCAGAAAATACCAACCTCAAGTTTTCTTCTTAATACAGGAGACGGACGCCCTGCAAAAAGCGAGCAGCCAACACCACCAGATCACCAAAGGTTTTTAAATTTATTATTCATTTTTATCGAAATAACTAAAAAATTGATAATCAGATTAATTTACAAATCGTGTTCTGAATCATCTTTTCCCTCTACAGTTTTAACGAGAAAATTGTATAACAACAAACGTTTAAATATTTCAGATGAAGTTGCAAACTACGCTATGGGTCATATTGGCGATTTGTTTTATAGTGCTGCTCACGATCGAAGGTAAGTGTACATTTATTGATTGACAGGAATTTTGATTGCATATTCGGTCATTTTTACCTATCGTTTAATTTCGAGTACTTCCTTTCTATCTATTTAAAACACTATTTTTAAACATGCATTTTAGATCGTTGGCTGGTGCCCTAATAAATGTCATTTGTAGTCGTTGAGGGGAATCTTATCCTTTACAACTCGTATGAAGTTAAATATACGTACTTATCAATTCAGCGTACCTGAAGAAGAGTAAAGTGGAGTACAGGGAATCTTTTATTCAAAGAATTAAAAGTCACATCGTTAACGTTAATCTAGTATCCTAGCGTTCATCAAATATACGCCGTTTAAAATAATTCTACATAGTACACACTGCTTGTCATAATATACCTGTGCATGTACATAATGTTTCTGTTGTCCTTTTATTTTAAAGCAAAGGGGCCAAAGAAACACCGCATGCCCTCTCGTCGCGGCCCTTCCAGTTACCCACGGACTCGTCCTAGCCCCCACGGACCGCGACGTTCTCGTCCTAGTCCCCACGGACACCGTTCTCGTCCTAGTCCCCACGGACACCGTTCTCGTCCTAGCCCCCACGGAAACCATTCTCGTCCCAGCCCTCATGGACACCCACATTCTCGTCCCAGCCCTCATGGACACCCACATTCTCGTCCCAGCCCTCATGGACACCCACATTCTCGTCCCAGCCCCCACGACCATCATCACCACCATGACGGATCATACAGAAATGAAACATTTGAACATGACCACGACTTCAGTGGATTGCTTCAAAACTTGACAGCAGGTATGTAATTCGACTAATTTTTTATGTAAACGACCTTTTTTATGCCTACAATTCAATGCTCTATTCTGCAGATATTTCGATGATAGGTGCTACATGGATTTAAGGTATTTCGAACATTCAAAATAACTCCTCCTATTTTGCGATTTATTTATTTTTATATATTTTCTTTGGAAATAGAGTTTTGGACCAACAATACAGACAGTTGTTACTGCAATGAGAACCCCTGTGCTATTAACAATGGCGGCTGCGAAGACCTGTGTGTAAATACGTACGCCGGCCATTACTGTGCGTGTAGTCTGGGCTATCAACTGGTGGCCGGGGAAAACGACACAACTTCCTGTGGTAAGTGTTTTTATAAATATATTCAAGTGTTAATCTTATTTTCATGTTATTTGCAATTTTATGGAATACTTGAAGAATTTCAATTTCAATTGCAACGTATTATCTCATCCCTCTATCTTGCACAAAAAAGAAGCCAGCTTTCTTTATTATCTTTATCAACCTGAAGTTCCAGTCCCGTAATTGTATTTAACAGTCAAATATAGGCCTACCAATTTTGTCTTTTTTCAGAATATGAAATCACGTGTGTGGCGCTCAACGAATACAATCAGTTGCTGTGTATCTGTGAAGATCCCAATGGCAGATACCCAGTGAATGGAACAAGGTGTCAAGGTACGCTGACCATCGTTTCACAGAAATAAGTGGTCTGGTTATCATAATTGTCATCAGTCAAAGACAAAATTATCTTTATTCGAAGATTGGTCTGGGTTCAAAAGAATGTAAATTAATCGGTTTACTCATGTTTTATAAGTGTTACTTTAAATATAGACAATTTGTGTACCTGTTTGACTGCCCATGAGCAAATCTATTATGGAAACTTATACAATCATATTCGGTCTGACCAGGGAATTATATCGGATATAATTCCCTGGTCTGACAAAACCTTTTTATGTTATAACGTCACCATGATTGGTTTTCCTTTCTCTCTATTGGTATTGAAAGGAGGTGTCCATCTGATCTATACTCCACCGTCAAGTATTTTTCTGATTAGGCCCTAAGTTTTGTCCTGTTGCAATATGTTCAAACATCTTACATTGATCTTTCTTGTGTTCTAGACAAGGATGAGTGTATCATGGAGAGTCCGTGTCAAGACCAGTGTACTAATACCATTGGTAGCTTCTTCTGTAATTGTTCGGATGGATATCGTCTCTCAAATGATTCCAAGACATGCGTTGGTAAGTGAAACAACGAGTAATTAAGAGGTTATATACATACTATAAAGTCAAGTTTTATTTAACTACCCATTTTGACATTTCAGGGTGGATTTATGTTAAAATTTGGGTTTCCCGTAAGTTAACAAATAGCATTTCAAATTTAATATAATAGCATTTATAATATAGCATATAATAGCATTTAAAAGCCTTTAAAATTTTCATTTATTTCCCTCTGTTTTGAATGTATTTATTGGGCATATTTTTCTCTCTTTACAGATATAAATGAATGTGCGATTCCTGAAATGTGTTCCGCCATTTGTATCAACACCCCCGGTGATTTTTTCTGCCTGGGCATCGGTGGATTTTTACAGAACGGTCGCAAGAAGCGAGCGGCGGACATGACGGACTTTGAAAGTGGCGACATCTATGGCGACTTTCTTGGAGAGCAGCAAGAATCTATGGAAATCCAACTTCAGCAGCTTCGAATCCAACTGCAAGAAAACATGAGAGCTGAAAGAACAAAGAACGTCGAGCAACAGTTTTGGCAGTCCATGATATACCTTCTGATCGCTGTTATTGCAGTTGTTATGTCACTGATCCTCATGTGTAAATTAAACAGGTTTGAAAAAGAAATCGAAAGATCGATCCTTTGGACTGAAAGTTTTAAACCTAGCAGTGACGTTATAAAAATTCAGGATTTATCTTTAAAGCATGAGCCTCAAGTATGAATATTGCGGTTATTATTGAGAACGTTACGTTGGACATTGAACATGCAAAATGATATCAACTATCCAGGGCATATATCTCTTGACACCCCGTCATTTACTATTTGTCTGATTTATGTATCTATAGTATATGGACACGGGTTTATAGTTAGGAATAACTAACTTGAAAATATTGAAGACACGAATACATAGTTTTTGTATAAGTTCAAGTGGTTTTAAGGGAAGACCAAGATATTGTTTTTAAAACACCTATTTTCTTTAATAAAATACCTAATGTTCCACTTTATTTTTCATTTGAGCCACTTTCTTTAAAATCAAACATGATATCTTAGGGAAAATTATTACACATTTCTCATATTAAATTTTTATTTCTATTTTAACAAATCTTTTTATAATTGCAACTCTGTGTTTTCCTAGAAAAGCTTTACCGTCCGTGAAGAAATTGGCCACCCCGTTTTTTTTCATCCACATGTGTTGTTCTATCGAATGTACGTTATCATAATGAACTCTAGACAAATGCATCATTTCATAAGACTGTTATTTAACTATCTAAACCATCTATCGCAATAACACATCGTGTTCTTTGTCTGCCATTTATGTGACCAGAATCCTGTAATAACCTCCACCAAGTCGAACATATAAACGCACCTATTGTCTATTTATTTACACTTTTTAACAAAAAAGCCAACTGCGATAAACTTTGGGAAACTATGTCTATATTAAAAAGCTACTGGGAAAGAAAATAAAACAAAGATTGGTAATTGTAAATAGTAATATTTTACAGGGGACTTTTCCGCGCTTATTACTTCATAAGAATAGTGATTGCTTCAGGTCTTTACTGGGATTCCCATCATGTTCTACCGAGCTTATACGTTTGTTGGTTCGTTTTGCTGGTTATATATATATATATATTTTTCCTGGCTGAAACAAAATGCGATTATTGTAGGCCTACCATTACGATTTCAGCAAACCTAAATTGCCTTTTTGGATGGGGATCCATTGTGTCTTATTATATTACAAATGCTAAAATTTAGACCGAGGCTTCTATACGGAATGTTGATGAACTTATTATGTAAATCAAGTGAGAGTTTTGGTGAGTGATGTTCAGCTAGGGGCTAAGACCAGGGTCAGCAGACGGCAGAGAAGAAAGAAGCCACATGTAACAATGCCACGATTAACACATGTAGGTCGAAAATGTGACATTTAAAACGTTGAAAAAATTAACTTATGTTATGACGTTTCATTTACTGTAAAACAAGGAGACTACCTTGTTTTAAGCGGGGGCGAGTTTGTTTTTACTATCGCCGCTACAGATTGCGGGTCTAATGACGCGCATTAAATAGATTGTATTGGTCACGCGAGGAAATAACACTAGCATCGGTAGCCACTTTATTTTATTCAAGCGGAAAGAAATACGGAAATATTTCACCAATTCCATCGAGGGCTATGTGTTTCCTTATCATTAGGTAATCATTTGAATAATTCTTGCGTGCTTGTGTATAGTTTTTTGTTTTCGTTCGCTTTTCATTATCATCACTGTATCGATGTGGTTTAGGTTGTTATGCCAACCGTGGTCTAATTAGCTGTACTGGTAACTATTTGAGGTTTAGATAAAAGTTAATTTTTACATAATATAAAATGTAGGCTTTTATTCGTATACAAACTGCATTTGTCATGCAATTTACTAAAGTATATAAAGGAACACGTTTGGGTAGGGACACCAGTTTTCAACCGTGACGTCTAACTTCAGAAGACTTATCAGTTGAGCAGGCACCGTTATCACTATGATGAAGCTCATTATTATTGCCGTGTTGATTTCTGTGGCCCTTGCCGCACCATTCTACGGTCGTGGCGGGTTCAAGAGAAATAATCGCAGAGGCCATAATGTGGGCTACTATAGCAACGACTACAGGTACAACGATGGACGCCATGGAGGCAGCTATAATAGACACGATGGTTACTATGGTAGCAACAACGATGGTTACTATGGAAACAACCAAGGCGATTATTATGAAAACGACTATGATCGTGGCTACAACGCCGGGTACCAACGCTCTAGCGGATACCAGACGAACTACGGTTACTATTAAACCTGACTTTTCATGAAAACTGTAAGTTACATCATTTTTATTTCAAGTTCCATTTCTTTCTTCATTTTTTGAAAGTTTAAGTAAACAAATGAGTTTCATTATCCAAGAGGAATCTCTAACGAATAAATCTTTTTATTCACAGACATTCAAAGCAGGTTTTAAAAAAGCGTAGATAATTTAGTATACGTTGTCTCAAGTCTACTGCGGAAAAGGCAGGTGGATAAGATGTAGTTGTCCTCTTTAATATATCTCCATCCCGGTGGTAACAAAGAATTTGATTTCTTATCTTAAAAAATCATGATTCAATCCGTGACTTAAGGGGGTTAGATTTGTTCTCTCTCTCTCTCTCTCTCACTCTCTCTCTCTCTCTCTCTCTCTCTCTCTCTCGTAGAGTAACCAAACTAAATTGTCTGTTCTTTCAGGTTGAAATACTCAGCTGCTTCAAGGTCTACTAGAAATGTGGTCCACCTCGTGAGTCAAGCCAAAAGATGTGAACCAATGCTACGAACTTTTCTCTCGCTGATTTAAAAAACCAATCGAATATCTATTTTCACAAAAAATAAATAAATTCGAATTTTATTTACACCAAAAACAATCTTGTTGTTTATCATTATTGTTTTAAAAAGGAACAAAATATGCGAAAATTAAATTAT